ACTGAAGCTAAGGCCGGAGCTCATCTTTAAGGCAGCATAAACCATGTAAACAATCTGTAGTTTTGATCGCTATGGCTGATACACTGATGTCATTATTTGTATCATATTTGACAGCGGGGCTTAAAACAGCACACGATATTGTCTCAGCCATGGTGGGTGTTCATGTAGGATGACCCTACTAGAATTACATAACAAACAGATAAATAAAAATCATTTGTTGCATTTTTCGTTGGGGTTTAAATTACTTTGCAGCACCATACAATGCGGGGCATTTATCGTCAGTGTTGTGTAATATTCTGTGCGTTCATACGACAACGTGGGAGCAATGAGTGTTAATCGGTGTCAGGGTATGCCTGGCCGCAGTACATCAGTCATTTGTTTGCAGTACAGAAGCTAATTGTCTGTTTGTGTGACTATATGTGGGTGTGTTCTATATTGTATGCAGGTTATGAATATAGTTTCTGTATACTGAGATGGGCCCGCATGGGGCATTATGCACCAAAAATAAAATATCTAAGCAAACAAAGGATCAGTGTTTAGGTCACGTAGTAACTATGCATCAGCTTGTTTAGCACCATGGGTGACACCGTAGCAAAAGAATATAGTTACATAGTTAGTCTGGCTGAAAAAAGACAAAAGTCCAGCCAGTTCAACCATAGAAAAAAAAAAAAAAAGTATATTCCTATACCCATAGTTGATCCAGAAGAAGACACAAAAACCCAGCAAAGCACGATCCAATTTGCTCCTGCTGGGAAAAAAATTCCTTTTTGATCCCCCCGAGAGGCAATCGGATATTCCCTGGATCAACTTTGCCTATAAATGTTATATCCAGTTATATTCTGTGTATCCGAGAAACAATCCAGGGCTTTTTTGAAGCAATCCACTGAGCTGGCCACAACCAACTCTTGAGGGAGTCTATTCCACATTCACACAGCTCTCACTGTGAAGAAACCTTTCCGTGTTTGGAGATTAAATTTCTTTTCCTCCAGACAAAAGAGTGCCAATATAAATGTTTATGTTTTCTTAGGTGTCACCTGAAAATGTTTTTTGGGTTATGAATACTCCACAATAATGCTAACTTTCGTGGCTGGGATCTTATTATTATGTCTTTAAATATAATTTCTTATTTCAATGGCTGCTTCACTGCATGGCCAAAAGTATGTGGCAGGGGCGGACTGACCATTTGGAAACTCGGGCGCTGCCCAAGAGCCCAGGGTCAGTAGGGGGCCCCATGAGATGCCCCTGGTACCTTTTTCATAGGCTTTTTTGAGTTTGGGCAAGGACACAGGGGCCCCATGATCCCCTATTGCCCGGGGGCCCCATGAGTTGTCAGTCCGCCCCTGGTATGTGGATGTCTCTCTAAATGATTGAGTTCAAGTACTTTATGTAAAGGATAATGCAGGGGCGGACTGACAACTCATGGGGCCCCCCGGGCAATAGGGGATCATGGGGCCCCTGTGTCCTTGCCCAAACTCAAAAAAGCCTATGAAAAAGGTACCAGGGGCATCTCATGGGGCCCCCTACTGACCCCGGGCCCTCGGGCAGTGCCCGAGTTTCCAAATGGTCACTCCGCCCCTGGGATAATGTTAATGCTCCATTATACAAAGATGTTCTAGACCAGGGGTGGGCAAACTTTTTGACTTGAGGGCCGCAATGGGTTCATATATTGGACCCGGGGGCCGGACCAAGAGTAGATGAATGATGTGTATGTGTCATCCATAGTAAGTATAGTAATATTCCCCCATAGTAAGCATAGTAATTAATCCCCCATATAGTAATTCATCCCCCATATAGTAATTAATCCCCCATATAGTAATTCATCCCCCATATAGTAATTAATCCCCCATATAGTAATTCATCCCCCATTATAGTAATTTATCCCCCATAGTAATTCATCCCCCATATAGTAATTCATCCCCCATATAGTAATTCATCCCCCATAGTAATTAATTCCCCATAGTAATTCATCCCCCTATAGTAATTCATCCCCCATATAGTAATTCATCCCCCATAGTAATTCATCCCCCATATAGTAATTCATCCCCCATAGAGTAATTCATCCCCCATATAGTAATTCATCCCCCATAGTAATTCATCCCCCATAGTAATTCATCCCCCATATAGTAATTCATCCCCCCTATAGTAATTAATTCCCCATATTAATTCATCCCCCATATTAAGTCCCAAGTCCCCCCTGTGTCAATTCACTTACCTTTGCTCCGCGCGTTCCTCTCGCCGTGTTCCCGCGCCGTTCCGGTGTAGCATGAAAATCTGTCTCCTATGAGGATCTGTCCCCCTCGACGTATCTGCGCATGTGCCAGTTTCAGGCATTACCAGCCGATCGGCGATCTCCGGCACATGCGCAGATACGTCGAGGGGGACAGATCCTCATAGGAGACAGATTTTCATGCTACACCGGTCTTCAGGGCGGACTGTGAGAGGAGCCTAGCGGGAGCCTAGCTCCGCGGGCCGGAAAAAAAGGTCCGCCGGGCCGTATACGGCCCGCGGGCCGTAGTTTGCCCATTGCTGTTCTAGACCAACCTTACTGAACCTGGGTTCCTCAAGCGGTTGCTAGGGGATCCTTAAGCAAAGACCAGTTTCTACCTCTCTGATAAGTAGCCACTGAAACCATCAATATTTTTTAGCTATCTGTAAAGGGGTCTTTCTAATGACCACCACACCAATGTAAGGAGCATTCTTCCTACCGACCACCAATCTAATTGCTTTCTTTCTACTGACCACCAATGTAAGCAGCATTCTTACCATTGACCACCAATGTAAGCAGCCTTTCCACTGACAAAAAAAGGGTTTTCTTCCCACTGACCACAAAAGTAAGGGAATTCTCCCCATTGACCACCAGTGTAGGAAGCATTCTTCCCAATGGCCCCTAATGTAAGGAACATTCTTCCCACTGACCACCAGTGTAAGGAGCATTCTTTCCATTGACCACCAATGTAAGCAGCATTCTTTCCACTGACGGTCAACGTAAGGGACTTTTTCCCACTGACCACCAATGTAGGATTCATTCTTCCCAATGGTTCCCAATGTAAGGAACATTCTTCCCACTGACTACCAGTGTAAGGAGCATTTTTTCCATTGACCACCAATGTAAGCAGCATTTTTTCCACTGATGCCCAACAAAAGGGTTTTCTTCCCACTGACCACAAAAGTAAGGGAATTTTTCCCCATTGACCACCAGTGTAGGAACATGCTTCCCACTGACCACCAGTGTAAGGAGCATTCTTTCCACTGACCACCAATGTAAGCAGCATTCTTTCCACTGACGCCCAACGTAAGGAACTTCTTCCCACTGACCACCAATGTAGGATTCATTCTTCCCAATGGTTCCCAATGTAAGGAACATTCTTCCCACTGACCACCAGTGTAAGGAGCATTCTTTCCATTGACCACCAATGTAAACAGCATTCTCGTACTGACCACCAACGTAAGGAGCATTCTTCCCACTGACCACCAATGTAAGGGACATGCTTCCCACTGACCACCAATGTAAGGAGCATTCTTCTCCCTGATCACCAGTGTAAGGAGCTTCTTCCGTCTAACCACCAATGTAAGGGGCATTTTTCCCACTGACCACCAAAGGAAATGTAGCCTTATTATTGATGGTTAATGGGAGAAACATAGCCCCATCACTGTTGGTCAGCCCCGTCATTGTTGATCAGTTGGAAGGAATGTAATCCCCAGCATAAGTGGTCAGTGGAGAAAATGGTGCCTCATCCTTGGTGGTTAGAGTATATTGCCCCATCAGTGGTGGTCAGTAGTAGGAGTGTAGTGTAGTTCTCATAACTGGTTCTCAGTGGGAGGAATGTATCTCCACTTTCCATGGTCAGTGGGGGGGGAGTGTATGCCCATCATTGTTGGTCAGTGTAAAAATGTACTGCTCCTCGTAGGGACAGCTAGGACTATACAGGCACCATCAGGCAGGAGTTCATTCCTTTTGATAGTGCCTGTGTTGAACTACCTGGTGTTGGAACTGATCATTGAACATGGACATTTTCCCACTTCCCAATATTGCCATGTGATATGATCATGGAAGCTAACATTGTTAGTTTCTGGATCTCCAATCCATGGCTTGATTGCACAGTAACAAAAGGAAAATGTCTACTGGTAGCTATTCCATTCCTACCTATCCATATATAAAAGTAAATCCGAGCTATTGGCATCATGAAGGTCATGCTTAAGTCATACAAGACGTTTGATGGTCATAATGATGATGATTTCATTCATTTGGTGAGGGGGTATGGGGTGGTATTGGCCAATCCATTGGGGGGTTTGTAATCCAATAAAGGTTAACACATAAGCTTCCTGAGAGATAGAGGAGGAGAACTTGTCAATGTGTCGCTACTCTCTCATTGTCCAATCACAGGCTGGGGGGGCAGGTCCCCTTAGACCAGTGGTTCTCAACCTTCCTAATGCCACGACCCTTTAATACAGTTCCTCATGTTGTGGTGACCCCCCAACCATAAAATTATTTACCAAGTATTTATAATTCATGAAGTGTTGATTTACCTCCAATACTGCTGCTTTCAACACAGTAGCTGCTTTTAAGAGAGTAGCTGCTTTCTACACAGTAGCTGCTCTTTACACATCGGAAATATGTGTTTTCGATGGTCTTAGGCGACCCCTGTGAAAGGGTCGTTCGACCCTCAAAGGAGTCGCGACCCACAGGTTGAGAACCACTGCCTTAGACCAAGTTGTCTTGACCCGCTTAGTCTAGAGATGTGCCTTACACAGACTAATATTTACTCTACCTATTATTTACTCTCATATTATACTAAAAATAATTGAACGTTAGCATTGAAAAAAACAAAAAAACAAAACTTAATACCTAAAATCAGCAAAAATATCAACATGAAAAGTGTACTAAATTCCAGTCGAACTTTATCCAATGAAGGAAATGAAAATACAATTACGTAAGAAGAACAATTGCTCAAAACAAGACAGAGAACACAAATATTTTTCCATTTTGTGGTTTTATTACAGGCTGGCACGATGGCTGTGTTCGTTGTATGGTTGGCGTACCAACCGCCTCTGTAATTGCCACCATCCTTTGTTTCACTGGGGTGGCCTTGTTTTGCGGATGTGGTCATGAAGCTCTGAGTGGAACTGAAAAACTGATTGAGACATACTTTTCGAAGAACTACCAGGAATATGAATATCTCATTCACGTGTAAGTAAACCTCTTGATTCATAAAAAAAAATGATCCTGCATTTTCAGTAAAGGAGATGAGCCAATCCAATTGTGCAAAACTGAAAGGAAGGCTGGAGCTTGGGGTCAAGAATTCCTAAAAATTGCCATTTGGTAACCTGGCCTTAGAGCAAGCCTTTCCCTTTGCTAATGTTTACATAAACTATTGTATTATATTCAGCTTGTGAACCACTTGTAAAACCTAATCTCATCCTCTCTCAGTTGAGCCAGTTATTCAACCACTGACAGACGCCATTTCTTGCATAACATAGAGAAGCCAGGCTGTCAATCACAGCCCACCCATCAAATTCCCCTCTGCCCTTCCTTTGATAGTCATGCATCACTGCTTAAGGCAAGTAGTGTGGTTAAAGGTGGAAATGATGGCTAAGCTGTTGACTTTTGTCAAAAAGTCAACATTTTCATACCAGTAAAATCAGTGCTTAGGCTGCATGATTAAAGAATTAAAGGAGGGTTTCTAAAACAACTGATGGAGGAGACTTTAAAAGTAACGCTAAGAGATCCCTCAGCTCCATCTAATGACTATAATGTGGTATGTTCCTGATTAAAGTATTTCAGGAAAATACCACATGATGACCTCTAGGTGGAGCTAATGATCTTAGGACATAGATAAATTATGGGGATTAGTTGTGATGGCTATGACAATGCTTGAGACAATCCCTAAGTTTGCATGCTTGGGGAATAGACTGGCTGATTTTACCACTGATGTCTCCATACCTAATCTTTTCCAGTGTAACTCTTTTTGTTCTCTCTTAAAGGGTAAATGCTTTCCAGTATGTGATATATGGCATCGCCGTCTTCTTTTTCCTGTTCGGAATCCTGCTTCTGGCTGAGGGATTTTATACCACCACTGCAATTAAACACATTCTGGGAGAGTTCAAGCCACCCTCTATTAAAGGCGGCCTTATCTCAACTGTAACTGGAGGACCACCCAAACCTAGGAGTGTCAGGGGAAGGCAGCCAATTCACACCTTGGAACTCCTCTGCCGCTGCTTAGGGAAGTGGCTGGGGCACCCAGACAAGGTAAGATCAAAGCTGAAACAAGAGGCCCCTTTCTGACTGATTGCGCATGTGCAATGTGGCTCCATTCCTACCGGTGAGCCGTACTCATGGCAGCCTACACCCCTTCAGCAGAGTATGGCTTATCCGTAGGAAGGCACATTTCTGCTGCAAAGACCATGAAATGCTACTTTTTTTTCCCTTCAGCCTCTTTCAGCCATCTCTTGTCTACATCCAGCATCAACTGCATAAAATTGATCAGGGAAATATAGTATTTCCTCCATATCATGATAACGTTGTGTCTTTTGAGCTCTAAATCTTAAGCACATGGTGTCAGCTCTGCCTACTTCATTTCTGATGGATTACAAAGAACACAGACCTTCCCAGGTCTCCTCCCCCTTCCCATCTTCATATCCCCTCCTCTACATCTTCTCCCAACACCTCTTCTCCAAAACTCCTCCTTATTATCATCTTCCTCACCTCATCTTCATAACCCCTTTTCACATATCCTACTAACGCCTCATCTCCATAACCCCTCAATGTCCCCCTCTTCACCCCACCCCCCAGAATCTCTTTTCCTTCCTAAGCTACATAAACTCCTACTCATCCTCCCATCCTCCTTATCTCCTCCTCCCTTAGTCATCTCCATAACTCTTCCTCATCTCCATAACCATTCCTCTTAACATCTACCTCCTCCTCATCTCCATAACTCTTCCTCTACATCTTCTCCCTGCACCTCATCTCCATAACTCCTCTTCATCATTGTCTTCTCCTTCCTCATCCACTCCTCATCCCCATAACCCCCTCTTTCACATCTTCAATCATCTCCTCATCTCCATAACCCCCTCTTTTACATCTCCAACCATCGCCTTATCTCCATAACCCCTCTTTCACAACTTCAACCATCGCCTTATCTCCATAACCCCTCTTTCACAACTTCAACTATCGCCTTATCTCCATAACCCCTCTTTCACAACTCCAATCATCGCTCCATCTCCATAACTCTTCCTCCTCTTCATCTTCCTCATCTTTATCTCCATAATCCCTCCTCTTCATCTTCTCCAACACCTCATCTCCATAATACCTCTTCATCATTGTCTTCTCCTTCCTCATCCACTCCTCATCTCCATAACCCCCTCTTTCACATCTTCAACCATCTCCTCATCTCCATAATCTCTCTTTCACAACTCCAACTATTGCCTTATCTCCATAACCCCACTATCACAACTCCAACCATCGCCTTATCTCCATAACCCCTCTTTCACAACTCCAATCATCGCTCCATCTCCATAACACCTCCTCCTCTTCATCTTCCTCATCTTTATCTCCATAATCCCTCCTCTTCATCTTCTCCCAACACCTCATCTCCATAACCCCTCTTCATCATTGTCTTCCCCTTCCTCATCTGCTCCTCATCTCCATAACCCCTCTTTCTCATATCCAACTATTGCCTCATCCCCATAACCCTTCTTTCACATCTCCAATCATCGCTTCATCTCCATGACCCCTCATCCTCATCATGTTCTTCCTCCTCATCTCCTCACACTAATCTCTTCCTAAACTCTATAACCCATCTCCTCATCTTCCCCTCCTCCTCATCTCCTACTCCCTTTGTCATCTCCCTAACCCCTGCACATCTCTCCCCCTTGTTATCTCCATAACCTCTCCTAATCCCCTCACCCAAAGCTCCTCCCCTTTTGTCATCTCCATATCCCCTCCTCATCTCTACAGATCCTCCTTTTGCATGGGCAGAGATCACAGAAAGTTATCTGCTCCTTAGATTTCTGACAGATTCAACATGTATTTTTTTTGGCACTTATTGAACAGATATAACAAAACACTTTCCATAGTATATTGAGAAGAAGAAATTGAAGCAAATAAGATAAGTTCATCGTTAGGGTATACATCAGGGGCGGACTGACAACTCATGGGGCCCCCGGGCAATAGGGGATCATGGGGCCCATGTGTCCTTGCAAAAACTCAAAAAAGCCTATGAAAAAGGTACCAGGGGCATCTCATGGGGTCCCCTACTGACCCCGGGCCCTCAGGCAGTGCCCGAGTTTCCAAATGGTCAGTCCGCCCCTGGTATACATACACTTTAAGCGCTGAGTTTTTCACTGCTGTTGCAAAGTGTGCTACCCTTGATGGTTACCCCAGAACTGTACTCTGTTCATTATAGTTTGTTGGAGTCACATACGCCGTCACCATCCTGTGGATCCTGATCTTTGCCTGCTCTGCTGTTCCCGTCTACATTTACTTCAACACTTGGGTAACCTGCCAATCCATTGCAGCTCCAGCAAAGACCTCAGCTGGCATTAGTAACCTGTGCGCTGACGCACGCATGTACGGTGAGTGTGAAGTTTGAGTTATGATCGAGTTTCAGTTATGACAAAGTATGCCAATATATTATCATATATTCTTAGAAGGAACTGTTCCGATTGCTTTTATGAAAATTAAATACTCTTTATGATTTTTTTTACACTACAGCCAAAATTTGTGGACACCTGACCATAACTTTTTTGACATTCAATACCAAAATCATGGACGTTAATATTGAGTTCCCCCATTTGCTGCTATAGTAGGCTTTCCTCAAGATTTTGGAATGTGTCTCTGGTAATTTGTACCCATTCAGCCAAAATAACATTTGTGAGGTCAGGTGCTGATGTTGGATGAGAAGACGTGACTTTCAGTTGACAATCCAATTCATCCCAAAGGTGTTCCGTAGGGTTGAGGTCAGGTACTGATGTTGGATGAGAAGACCTGATCCCAAAGATGGTCAGTAGGGTTGAGATCAGGTACTGATGTTGGATGAGAAGACCTGATCCCAAAGGTGGTCCGTAGGGTTGAGGTCAGGGCTGTGTACAGAACACTCGAGTTCCTCCACATCTAACTGGTCAAACCTTATCTTTATGGTCAGGCCAGGTACTGATATGTGATGAGAAGACCTAGATTAGTGTTCAGATTCATCCCAAAGATGTTCAGCAGGGTTGGTGCAGGGCTGTTTGCAGGCCACTTGAGTATGGAGTTACCTCAACCTTACCCCTTGTAGCTATAACAAGCTCCTAAGTGGGAATTTGTGCCCATTTAGCCAAATGAGCATTTGTGAGGTCATGTTGGATGAGAAGACTTGGCTTACAAGTGATGTTTCAGTTCACTCCAAAGGTGTTCAGTAGGGTTGAGATCAGGCACTGATGTTGGATGAGAAGACATGATCCCAAAGGTGGCAAGTAGGGTTGAGGTCAGGGCTGTGTACAGAACACTCGAGTTCCTCCACATCTAACTAGCATTTGTGAGGTCATGTAGGAATGTTGGATGAGAAGACTTGGCTTATAAGTGATATTTCAATTCACTCCAAAGGTGTTCTTCAGGGTTGAGATCAGGCACTGATATTTGATGAGAAGACCTGATCCCAAAGGTGTTCAGCAGGGTTGAGGTCAGGTACTGATGTTTGATGAGAAGACCTGATCCCAAAGGTGTTCAGCAGGGTTGAGATCAGGTACTGATGTTGGATGAGACCTGATCCCAAAGGTGTTCAGCAGGGTTGAGGTCAGGTACTGATGTTGCATGGGAAGACCTGATCCCAAAGGTGTTCAGCAGGGTTGAGATCAGGCACTGATGTTGGATGGGAAGACCTGATCCCAAAGGTGTTCAGCAGGGTTGAGATCAGGCACTGATGTTGGATGGGAAGACCTGATCCCAAAGGTGTTCAGCAGGGTTGAGATCAGGCACTGATGTTGGATGAGAAGACCTGATCCCAAAGGTGTTCAGCAGGGTTGAGATCAGGTACTGATGTTGGATGAGAAGACCTGATCCCAAAGGTGTTCAGCAGGGTTGAGGTCAGGCACTGATGTTGGATGGGAAGACCTGATCCCAAAGGTGTTCAGCAGGGTTGAAATCAGGCACTGATGTTGGATGGGAAGACCTGATCCCAAAGGTGTTCAGCAGGGTTGAGATCAGGCACTGATGTTGGATGAGAAGACCTGATCCCAAAGGTGTTCAACAGGGTTGAGGTCAGGTACTGATGTTGGATGGGAAGACCTGATCCCAAAGGTGTTCAGCAGGGTTGAGATCAGGCACCGATGTTGGATGAGAAGACCTGATCCCAAAGGTGTTCAGCAGGATTGAGGTCAGGGTTCTGGTGTGGAAGAACTTGAGTGGCTGGTCGAACAAACTGGTCGAACCATGTCTATATGGAGGTGGCTTTGTACACAGGGGCACAGTCATGCTGGAACAAGAAAGGGTCTTCCCCAAACAGTTACCAGAAGGTTGAAGACCATAATTGCCTAAAATGTCTTTGTATGCTGTAGAATCTACAGTACCCTTCACTGGAAACACCCTAACTCCATCATTTGGAGGGAGGTCCACATACTTCTAGCCATGTATCGTATATTATTGGTCAATTAAATAACAAAATATTAGCTAAATAGTGTCTTCCAGATACATCCCAATCCTGAAAAATAGAACTTGAAGCCTTTAATCACACATGTGTTCTTCAAAGCTGTTCACTATTGGTTCTTTTCCTACAGGAGTTCTGCCATGGAATGCTTTCCCCGGAAAAGTGTGTGGAGCCAGTCTACTTGCCATCTGCAAAACCAGTGAGGTTAGAATGATGGTTTTTATTTGTTTTCAGCACTTAAAAGAACTTTATAGAATTGCTAGACCTCCATTGCTTCGCACAAGTTCTACACAAACATGTCCTCAGGACCAGTCTTGCTTAAAATGGACCTTTCTGTAACTTACAATTTTAGGAAGTCCGTGAATAAATTACTGACATATTATTTTGGGATATTAAAAAAAAAAAAAACAAAAAAAACAAAAAAAGACAAAAAAGCTCTCCCTTGTATCTACTGACTTTGTCTTGGCAGAGATATTATCAAACATCCCCCCTCCCCCGGACTACCCTAATATAAAAAAAAAAAACTCCCCCTTTACACCAGCCCTAGTTTTTCATCTCTTTAGTTTCACCGGATATTCCACGAAGGGTACATTATACATGGAACAGACATCATACATGTGTAAAAATGAAACCGATAATTTGTGTTGAAAAATATTTCTACAACAATGAAAAATGTCATAATCAGTAGATTAAAGCCTACATAACCCAGGCACAAAAACTGAACGTATTCCAGTTTACCAGACACTAGATATGGTGGCTGCATTCATTTTCCCCTTTTATTTTCACCTGGTGATCCTGCCAGTAACACACTTCCTGTCCTAGGGTGACAACGCTCATTCACTGGACTGCATTTTTGGGCAGTACAGTGGCTAAATAGTTAGCACTTCCACCTGGCAGTGCTAGGGTTGTTGGTTCGAATCCCAGCCACAGCACCTCCTGCCTGCAGTTTGCATGTTCTCCCTGTGCCTGCGTGGGTTTCATCAGCATTGTTGCCCTAGGACAAGACTAGAGAACTACAGAACAACTCCCCCTATTCTTATCTCCATACATGGGAGTTGGGGTTGGGTAGATCAAAGATATAGCTGGGACAGGGGCGGACTGACCATTTGTAAACTCGGGCACTGCCAGAGGCCCGGGGTCAGTAGGGGGCCCCATGAGATGCCCCTGGTACCTTTTTCATAGGCTTTTTTGAGTTTGGGCAAGAACACAGGGGCCCCATGATCTCCTATTGCCCAGGGGCCCCATGAGTTGTCAGTCCGCCCCTGAGCTGGGAATAATGCAACTGATAACAGTACAGCAGAGACAGAGAGCACAAGAAGTTATCAGAGCATTGGATTTCTGGCAGGATCTAGGGCTCCACAATTCCCAGGCATCAGGTCGCCATGGTGATTAGAAATTGCATCTGGTGCCCGCGTTCACACACTGCCTCCCATTGACTTCAGCAGAAAATTGCGTCCCATTAGCTTCAATGCAAAAATGCCTCCCAATGACGTCAGTGGAAAATCACGTCCCATTAGCTTCAGTGCAAAAGTGTGTCCCATTGTCTTCAATGCAAAAACGCCCTCTATTGACTTCAATGCAAAAACGCCTCCCATTGACTTCAGTGGAAAATCGCGTCCCATTAGCTTCAATGCAAAATCCTGTCCCCCTAGGGCTCCACAATTCTCAGGCATCAGGTCGCCGTGGTGATTAGAAATTGCGTCTGGTGCCCGCGTTTCACACACTGCCTCCCATTGACTTCAGCGGAAAATTGCCCCACATTAGCTTCAATGCAAAAAACGCCCCCCATTGACTTCAGTGGAAAATCGCATCCCATTAGCTTCAGTGCAAAATCGTGTCCCATTGTCTTCCGTGCAAAAACGCCCTCTATTGACTTCAATGCAAAAACTCCTCCCATTGACTTCAGTGTAAAATCGCATCCCATTAGCTTCAGTGCAAAATCGTGCCCCTTGACATCAATGCAAAAATGCCCTCTATTGACTTCAATTCAAAATCACCTCTCTTTGACTTCATTGCAAAAGTGCCTCCCACTGACGACAAGGCAAAAACACCTCCCATTGGCTTCAATGCCAAAAATGTCTCCCCATGACTTCAATGCAAAATCGCCTCCCATTGACTTCAATGCAAATACCGCCTCCCATTGACTTTAATGCGATAGCGATATTCGGGTTACAAAAAAGAATAAAAGGCTATAACTCTTTTTTTTTTTTCTCTTTAGTTCCAGATGACGTTCCACCTTTTCATCGCCGCATTTGTAGGCGCAGCTGCAGCTCTCGTGGCTCTGGTGAGTTGTACTGATTAATCGTCATGGGTGACACAGGAGCCAACCCGCATTCACTGCCTTGCATTCGACTTCCGCATTCACTATAGACGGCTCCAGCTGAGGAATCCGTCAGCATAAAAGTGACAAAAAAATGAGTTCAATCCTATAAAACTGCATTCTATTCATCCAGGTTTCCGGTAAAATGTTCAAAGCTGAACTCCTTGCAGATCTAAAGGGGGCAATTTAAAGTGGTTGTAAAACCCTTCCATACACCCACAGGGTGATACGCAGAGATGAAACAAATTCTCCTACATAAGTTGTACCTGTTTATCTGCTACACCCTTTCCTCTACAGCTTCCTAAAGTACACCTTTTAATCAGCATTTCCCAGCTCCAGCAGGCAGGAGGCGGAGGTGCTAATGCTGCACACTGCACAGCATAGAGCAGGTTGCTGAGTGTCATCTGAGAACTGAGTGGAGGGAAAGGACCCCCCCCGCCTCCCCCCCACACAGTCTCATAGGGAAACAAGCAGATGAGGCTGTCAGTCACTTGCTGCTTGCTGGAGTAGGGGGGGGTTGTCTCCCAGGAATGCCTGGTGCTGGCACAGACTGTCAGAAATCACACTTGGTGCTTTGGATTGAGGCAAGCACACACTATAGAAGGATATGCTTTGCTCATTATATATTTCAGAGGTTTACAACCACTTTAATGTAGCTCTGTATTCATGAATATACCATTAAATGTACATACGTTGTACCTGTTTATCTGCAACACCCTCCTCTACAGCTTCCTAAAATACACATTTTAAACAGCAGGTAGGAGGTGGAGGTGCTGATGTTACACACTGCATTTTCCCAGCTCCAGCAGGCAGGAGGTGGAGGTTCTGATGCTGCACACTGCACAGCATAGAGCAGGTTGCTGAGTGTACTCTGAGACCTGAGTGGAGGGAAAAGACACCCCGCCTCCCCCCCTACACAGTCTCATAGGGAAATAAGCACAGATGAGGCTGTCAGTCACCTGCTGTTTGCTAGAGGACGGGGGGGGGGGGGGGGGGGTCTCCCAGGATTGCATAGACTGTCAGAAGTGACAGAGAGCAGACAGAAATCACACTTGGTGCTTTGGATTGAGGCAAGCACACACTATAGAAGGATATGCTTTGCTCATTATATATTTCAGAGGTTGACAACCACCCTCTCCTCTACAGCTTCCTAAAATACACATTTTAAACAGTAGGCAGGAGGTGGAGGTGGAGGTGCTGATGCTACACACTGCACAGCATAGAGCAGGTTGCTGAGTGTAATCTGAGACCTGAGTGGAGGGAAAGGACACCCCCGCCTTCCCCCCTACACAGCCTCATAGGGGAACATGCACAGATGAGGCTGTCAGTCACCTGCTGTTTTCTAGAGGACGGGGGCGTCTCCCAGGATTGCATAGACTGTCAGAAGTGACAGAGACAGAAATCACACTTGGTGCTTTGGATTGAGGCAAGCACACACTATAGAAGGATATGCTTTGCTCATTGACAACCACTTTAATGCAGCTCTGTATTCATGAATATATCATTAAATGTATTTTCTGAAATGCAAGTAGTAAAGTACCCAGATATCAGCCTATTACAGTCCCTGTACAGCAGAGCACAGACTGGCAGAGGGAAAAGCATTCACAAAGAGCCAACCCGGTATGCTGTTATTTTTTATGTGCTAACAAGGAACATGCTGGTAGGAGGAGAGAGCAGAGTGGCAGAGAGAACTCAACAGTCTACTGTTTCTCCTTTTAAAGTCCAGTTACAGGCTGGGTGCAGGACAAGACCCGTAAGTGTTACTGACCCGCAGCAGAGATAAATCAGGGCTGTGCTGTGTGGCGGAGCTGTGTAAATCTCCAGAATGGATAAACAGAAGCACAAATCCTTTGGCAGGGGAAGCGGCTCACTTTCATGTAGTTCATCGGTTTGCCTGGAGTTCAGCTTTAAGTACAAAGTATTCATACATCTCTATCTACAACTAGGATTGTGTGTCCAGTACAAACCTCCATTACAGCCACCTTCCCGGCCCCGATGAAGGGGGCCTGGGGCCCAGGAAGCATGGGCTCTGCCTTTTGTGCTTTGGGCTTTTGGTGGTCAGTGGCAAGAACTTCTTGTTATAACGGTGGTTAGTGGGAAGAATGGGAGGTCAGTGGGAGAAAGACCCCTTTACATGGGAGGTGGTCAGTGGGAGAAAGACCCCTTTATATTGGTGGTCAGTGGGAGAAGGACTCCTTTATATTGGCGGTCAGTGGGAGAAGGACCCCTTTATATTGGTGGTCAGTGGGAGAAGGACCCCTTTATATTGGTGGTAAGTGGGAGAAAGACCCCTTTATATTGGTGGACAGTGGGAGAAGGACCCCTTTATATTGGTGGACAGTGAGAGAAGGACCCCTTTATATTGTTGGTCAGTGGGAGAAGGACCCCTTTATATTGTTGGACAGTGAGAGAAGGACCCCTTTATATTGTTGGTCAGTGGGAGAAGGACCCCTTTACATTGGTGGTCAGTGGGAGAAGGACCCCTTTATATTGGTGGACAGTGGGAGAAGGACCCCTTTACATTGGCAATCAGTGGGAGAAGGACCCTTTATATTGGCGGTCAGAGGGAGAAAGACCCCTTTACATTGGTGGTCAGAGGGAGAAGGAACCCTTTACATTGGTGGTCAGTGGGAGAAGGACCCCTTTATATTGGTGGTCAGTGGGAGAAGGACCCCTTTATATTGGTGGACAGTGGGAGAAGGACCCCTTTACATTGGCAATCAGTGGGACAAGGACCCTTTATATTGGCGGTCAGTGGGAGAAGGAACCCTTTACATTGGTGGTCAGTGAAACAAGGACCCAATTACATTGGTGGTCAGTGGGAGAAGGGCCCCTTTATATTGGTGGTCAGTGGGAGAAGGACCCCCTTTATATTGGTGGTCAGTGGGAGAAGGACCCAATTACATTGGTGGTCAGTGGGAGAAGGGCCCCTTTACATTGGTGGTCAGGACAGTGGGAGAAGGACCCCTTTACATTGGTGGTCAGTGGTCAGAAGGACCCCTTTACATTGGGTGAGAAGGGCCCCTTTACATTGGTGGTCAGTGGGAGAAGGGCCCCTTTACATTGGTGGACAGTGAGAGGAATGCCCAGTGAGAGGAATGCTTCCATCAGTGGTCAGAGCAGTGTCTATTACACTGATAGCCACCGCCCCCATGCTCCTGACTCAGCCAAGTGCTGTCAGTACCAGAACCATGCAGGCACCGTCAGGTGGGCAATCAGTCCAGCACTACTTATGGAACCCCAAGCAGCCCCTAGAGGGTTCAGGAAGGCTTCCGTATAATACAAATATTTAGATTGTATCTGACTGATATAGTCCATCCAGTCCTGAGATTTGCACAGCTCTGCCACACAGCACAACCAGTCAGATAATACCGCGATCTTCATTATAGTCCATACACAAAATAAAGTGCTGTCTTGTCCCCATCCCTAGCCTGCTGAATGCTCAGTGGAAGAGCAGAAACAGGCTGATGAGGTCATCCCTCTGCCGCTCTGCTCTCTCCTCCTATCAGTATGTTCCTTGTCAGTACACTGGCATGCGGCACACCAGTCCTGCCCTTGTGTCTCCCAGTCTGAATTTTGTAGTGCAGAGGGCGCTTGCCAAGACACAGGACAGGTTCAGGTATTTCTGTACTCAGGTTCCATCATTTGTGATGTATGTTTAATGCTTGATTCTTGAATACGGCTCTGTGTAAATGTGTCTTTTATATCGGCCCGGAGTTCAGCTATCACTCTAATCAAAGCAAGTTTTTGCAAAAATTAATCGGCTTCTCTGGTTGTTTAAGAATCTACATTTATATTCCCAGTTTATGGGGCATGCAAGCTTTGTCTAAGGGAGAAATACAGTATGGAAGCATGTATGGTCCTCCTTGTAGGACTTCCCTTCTCGCCTGCTTCTGCCATAGAGGTCATTAAAGTGTTACTAAACCCCGAACCCTGCATTCACTATATCTGGTCTCCCCGACCCTGCATTCACTATATCTGGTCTCCCCGGACCCTGCATTCACTATATCTGGTCTCCCCGGACCCTGCATTCACTATATCTGGTCTCCCCGGACCCCACATTCACTATATCCGCTCTCCCCGGACCCCGCATTCACTATATCCGCTCTCCCTGGACCCAGCATTCACTATATCCGCTCTCCCCGGACCCCTCATTCACTATATCCGGTCTCCCCGGACCCCGCATTCACTATATCCGGTCTCCCCGGACCCTGCATTCACTATATCCGCTCTCCCCGGACCCTGCATTCACTATATCCGCTCTCCCAGGACCCTGCATTCACTATATCCGCTCTCCCCGGACCCTGCATTCACTATATCCGCTCTCCCCGGACCCCGCATTCACTATATCCGGTCTCCCCGGACCCCGCATTCACTATATCTGCTCTCCCCGGACCCTGCATTCACTATATCCGCTCTCCCCGGACCCTGCATTCACTATATCCGCTCTCCCCGGACCCTGCATTCACTATATCCGCTCTCCCCGGACTCCGCATTCACTATATCTGCTCTCCCTGGACCCAGCATTCACTATATCTGCTCTCCCTGGACCCAGCATTCACTATATCTGCTCTCCCCGGACCCCGCATTCACTATATCTGGTCTCCCCGGACCCTGCATTAACTATATCCGCTCTCCCTGGACCCAGCATTCACTATATCCGCTCTCCCCGGACCCAGCATTCACTATATCCGGTCTCCCCGGACCCCGCATTCACTATATCCACTCTCCCCGGACCCTGCATTCACTATATCCGCTCTCCCTCGGACCCAGCATTCACTATATCCGCTCTCCCCGGACCCTGTATTCACTATATCCACTCTCCCCGGACCCTGCATTCACTATATCCGCTCTCCCTCGGACCCTGCATTCACTATATCTGCTCTCCCTCGGACCCTGCATTCACTATATCTGCTCTCCCTGGACCCAGCATTCACTATATCCGGTCTCCCCGGACCCTGCATTAACTATATCCGCTCTCC